TGAGGAACTGTAGCAATTTGAGGTGGAAAAGAAAGCTAACTTAGACCCCTTTGAAGACAGAGGAAGTTCCAAAGGTTGAAGGATTTTGAGGATGTTCTCTTTCAACCAACACTTCCTTCAATCCCAAGCACATAGGCCGACTTGCGAGGGCTCTCAAAGAGGACCTAGAGGCGTTGCATAAACTATCACTGAGATACCTAGTGTGGATGTCAATGATACTCGTCATAGGTTGAATGTGAAAAAATGCACCAAACAAATCAAGAAGAAGATTAAGAGATGGTTGTGATCCTAGTTGGGCTGATAAGACAATAATTACTCCTTAAGATTGGCTTCATAAAGATAGCACAGTACCCTAATTGGATTCCCAACATAGTCACGATGCATAAATAGTTTAATAATGGGAGGATGTGCACAAAATTTACCAATTTAAACTCAACTTGCTCAAAAGATCCCACTCCGTCGGATAAACGTGCAAGTTTAGTTTTCAAATTACGTTCCAATCAAAAGCTTTTTTCTGATTTTTGTTACGTCCACATCAAAATATACCCAATACATTGTGCGAAAGAATATTTCAACATTAAAAAATGTCTACTTTGCTACAAGATGATGCATTCAACTTGAAGAATCCAAAAGCTGCAACAAAATAACATGAAAATAAATGTCGATGACCTAATGATAATAACTAAGACACTTAGGCACCACATTCTTGCTTTAAAGAAACCTTCATGACATTTAAGAGATGTACTATGTGCCTCAACCGTTTGATGATAAACTTTGTCATAATCGGCACCACAACTTACAAAGCAATTTTTTACTACCATACGTAACACCTTAAGGATGGTGATCTCAATTTATCACATTGTGATATAGTTCGCTGCTTAAAGATAGAATATAGCAAAGGGAGATATGACACACTTAAAGGTCTATTATCTGAAGGTTGGGAAGAACGTGAGGAACTGTAGCAATTTGAGGTGGAAAAGAAAGTTAACTTAGAGACATCTGGAGTCATAGAGGAAGGTCCAATGGTTGAAGGAGTTTGAGGACGTATTCTTTCAACAAACACTTTCTTCAATCCCAAACACAGGCGGACTTGCTTGGGCTCTCTAAGAGGACCTAGAGGTGTTGCATAGATAGGCACCGAGATACCTAGACTGGAAGTCAATGATTATTCCATAAGATTAAGAAGATGTTGCGATCCTAGCTGGGCCCATAAGACAATAATTACTCTATAAGATTGGCTTCATAAAGATAGCACAACACTCTAATTGGATTCCCAACATAGTCACAGTGCATAAATATAGTAACAAGGGGAGGATGTGCGCTCAACTTGCTCAAAAAATAGTCACGTACTTTCTCGAATAAACGTGTTGGTTGAGTCTTCAATTACTTTCCCATCATAAGCTTTTTTATGATTTTTTGAGTTGCGTCCACATTAAAATGTACCCAATACATTGTGAGAAAGAATATTTCAAGATTAAAAAATAATTATTTTGCTACAAGATGATGCATTCGACTTGAAGAATCCAGAAGCTACAAGAAAAAAACATGAAATTAAATGTCGGCGACTTCATGATAATAAGTATAACCCTCAGGCACTGCATGCAAGTTTTAAGGAAACCTTCACGACATTTAAGAGATATACCATGCACCTCAACCGCTTAATGGTAAACTTTGTCACAATCAATACAACAAGTTATAAAGGAATTTTTTATTGACCATACCTAACACCTTTAGGGTGGTGGTCTCAATTTATAACATTGCAATATAGTTCACAACTTGAAGATAGAAGAAAGTAATGGGAGATCTGTCACATTTAAGGGCCTATTATCTGAAAGTTGTGGAGAACGTACGAGAGGAACTGTAGCAATTTGAGGTGGAAAAGATTTAGAGACCTCTGAAGCCACTGAAGAAGTTCCAATAGTTGAAGGAGTTCAAGGACATACTTTTTCAATCAACACTTCCTTCAATCCCAAGCACAAAGGCCGACGTGCCCGGGCCCTCTAAGAGGACCTAGAGGTGTTGCTTAGACAGGCACCGAGATACCTATGGCAAATGCCAATGCACTCATCATAGGTTGAATGTGAAAAAATACACCAAACAAGTCAAGTAGAAGATTAAGAGGACGGTTGTGATCCTAGCTAGGCCAATAAGACTAATTATTCCTTAACGTTGGCTTTATAAAAATAGTATGGCATCCTAATTGGATTCCCAACATAGTCACGGTGCAAAAATTAAGTAACAAGGGGAGGAAGTATATATGATTTACAAATTTAAACTCAACTTGCCAAGCAAATAGTCACCCTCTCTCTCAGAAAATGTGTTGGTTGACTTATCAATCACTTTCCCCGTCATAAGCTTTTTCATGGTTTTAAGAGTTATTTCCACATTAATTTGTACCCAATAAATTTTGTTTGGGATTCTTCCTCACATACAATATTCTTAACAAGGAGTCCCTCTCATCAAACAATCACGAACTACCGACTTTACAAGACTCTCTTTGCACTAATCTCATTTTCTTGGAAGTTGAAGAGTTTTGTTCTTCTATATCCACACAAAAGGCTAAACTTTGTCCATATTAACATTTGATAATATGAGCTCATGATCTTAGAGGCAAATCATCAAAAATGAATCACGAGGTAGACGACAACAACTATGGTGGGGTGAAGAACTTTGGTAGAGACGACGACTATAGAGGTGCCATGGGAGAGATTCATGCGAGGAAAGGTTAGAAGCAAGACCTGATTATCAAAGGGCCTTGCAACTTGTCACATGACAAAACGTTGGGTGGGGAGGCAAAAAGATTAAAGGTTTAAAAATTCTTTTTGGAACTTTATTTCTGAGGCCATTTTAAATATATATAAGATTTTACTTTTAAATAAGCTAGCTAATGAACTTTCCGTTGGCAAGTTTACTTGAGAGTCTTTGACATGTCAAGCTTAGACCAGCGCATGAGACAACCAGTTCAATGAAATTCCTAAACTAGAACCGTCTCTTCCATGCCAAGGATCATTATTTTAAACATATGTTATTAGCAACAGTTGAGGTTCAATAATTATTTGTTTACCAGTTAATGGGATCCACAATGAGAAAGATGTTTTCTCCAGTGTGAGCTGATAAATAACAAAAGCCTTTAATTACTTTGAATATAGCCTATTAGGTTTTAGCTTGAAAAACCTGGAGAAGGAATGTTGATTGAACGCTGATACCTTTTCAAAGGCTACAAATTATGTCCTTGGTTTCTTCTTCATAGTCCAAAAGGCAGCATAGTAATGATTCTGCAAACCAATAATGATTACCATTATCAATCAATTGCACAGATTTTAAAACATAATCAATCTAAAAATATTTTCTTACATGCAAAACACATATATATGAAAAAAGGCATTATTTAAAACATTCTGAGAATAAGAAATGGTTGGAAATATTGACGAATAAGCACATTTCTAAAGACAAAAGTATAAGAAAACATGATAAGTAGATCAAAGGAAATCATTAAGCATCTGATATTTAAAATTTAACAATACTTGATATATAAGCATTAAATATCTTGGTGAAAATATGCTAGCATATCTATCATTACGAGCCCATGTCCATCAATATTGCCATTTTATGTAGCTTTGCAAAGCAAGTTCCTCTGCTATTAAACAAGGTATAAACTATAGGTTCCTTAAGTTTGCTATCAAAAGTAGGCCGTTACAGTTTTTAAGGGGTCCGCTAAATGAACTTGAGCCTGGGATCTTTTAAGAACAGAAAAATGCCCCCCATGAATCTACCCTACTTAAGCTCCACCGGCTGATCTGGCTAGGCATATGGGCGCTTCGGCAAGCTGATCTCTGGAAAAAAAAAATGGCCAGCTTCTCAATGGGGCAATTGCAGGGCCCACCTGCAGTAAATAGATGACAAAGATTGGAATGATGTCAATGCAGTGGCAGCAGGAGATGGCCAGTGACAGCACATGAGTTACTTTGGAAAGAGAGAAATAGAGAATAGAATTGGGCAGGAGGGGAAGAGACGAGCAAAAGTGAGTGGGGGAAGCTATTACAGAGCAAGTAGAGAAGGACAAAAATCTATTAAGAAATAGACAATTTTGAGAGAAAAAGGCAGGACGAGAGAGAGTGTAGACCAACAGAGAGAGATTTAGGAATAGGCGGTAAGAAAGAGAGAGATTCCTCTGTAAAGCTAATGAAGCAATGGAGAGAATGCAAGAAAGGGCAAGGACATTAGAAGATAGTACAAAGATGTATAAAAAAATTATTCAAAGCACAAAAGGCCAATTTGTTCCATCCTTACAAAAGGAACAATAGAACTTTTCCTTACTATTACTAACCACCATTATTTGATACTAGGCCAGATCTCATAGCTGAGTTCAAGAGCATGATCACATTTGAAACAAGAGCCCTTGAATTAACCCTTTATTTTCATGATAAGATATTACTATATTTCTAATTACATCCACTCCTTTAATAAATTATAACTGCTCTCTACGTGCTCTATTTTGTATATATTGGTCATCATAATTTAAGTCTCTCTCTCTCCTCTATATATATATATAGAAGATGCTTATGTTAACGATAGTAAGGGTTCCTAACCAAAGCATTAAAATATTTTATCAAAAACTGGTATTACAAGACCAGAAGTAAATTGGGGTTTACTTTTATTCAACCCCATGTGAAAGGCATGTCTGTAAATGCCAAAGCTATTCATAAATGCTGCATTCCAAATAGGATACTGAATATCTAATTCATGCTCGTGAATGACACATTTCTGTCATATTCTGAAAGCCCCGTCTAAAAAATACATTATTGCAACATGCCAAGTGATGCACACGCACTTCAAACAAGTGCTGAAATAACATAGGATTTGACCTTAATTCAAGTGATTGTCAGGTTCAGTACTATAATATATGACTATGCTGTAGTACGATGCATTGAAGGGGGTACGTTACACAACTTATTCATAGTATGATCTTCTAAGTTAAAAGTTCCAAAAAAAAATGGTATGAGATTTATTGCGATGGCAGGATAAAATTAATATGAAGTAATGAATTATATTTTATCTATTCTAAATTCTTATAGCATATGCAAATGATAATAGTAACTTTGATTCATACTGTTAATACAATAAATGTACTTCATAATATTTATTTTAAATGTACGTAGATAACAAAGAACTAAGACTTCTCAAACTGGCAGTTCAAAAACAAAGAACGAAAAAATACACTATTAGCATACCTGCATCATAGATCTAGGATTTGCAGTATACGTTGTCTCGATGATTTTCTCCATCTGTGGGGTTCACAGAACAAGAAAGAAATTCTACATAGGACTAACTGCATTTTATAATGACATTAACAATTCAAGAAAATCATCAAATCACCTCAATCTCAAACCCATACTGTAAAGCAACCTTCTTCGCATCTTCTAGACTGATCTCGATGGACATTTCCTAAGAAGATAAATTTGAGATATCAAAGAAAAAGCAAATAATTAAGGAAACTCTAATAGAATATTCTGAGGAATAGGGAAAAAAGGGTAAGATACTCTTTACATACCTCTTCAGGTGCACATGAATCTGCAAAATGGTAAAGCAAGGGACCCAAGTTGATCCAGACCTACAAATTTAGGCAAGGTGGAAGGAGTCATTCACTAGGGGATATGGAGATTCATCAAAGAGAAATTATTAGTTCTGAAATCTATTCGAATATAACTTGTTTAAGAAAAGAAAGAAATATAGAAGGTGAAAGAACAATAAACTAAATAATTATGTTTATGCGTTATGTGAAATATACTTACACCCCCATCTTTAAGAACTTTTGATATAATTTCAATGTACTCAACAATGTTATGTGCAGTGTCCAAGAAAAAGCAAGTCACCACAGCATCCCAAGCACCTACACAAGTAATAAATCAAAAAATAAGTTCCAACTAGAATTAATGCAGATATACCGTTCGTCTTAAAAGCAGATACCTAACCAACAAAAAAAAAACAGAATCTGAGATAAGACTATAGCATGCATGGAAGTGCAGTATAGCATAAAAAACAATAGTTAAACGTTAAAAGTTTTCCAGAAAATCCTGATAGACACAATTTAAACCAAGCAACAAGAAACAAAAATCGTTACCAAACACTTCTCTCCAATAGATGTAATAAATCTCACGGAAAAATTACAGGGAAGTCCCCATATTTCAGCACATCAAAAAATCTCAATGTGCTTTCACAAAGGCGATTCAGGATGTAGTAAAAAACATCTCAATGCAATCCATTAAATACGGAGAACTTGACGTATATATAGAAGCATCTACATACATACCACATAATTCTTCTATATTTACATATTTAAAACCTAAATATTTCTATTTACATGCATAAACTCAAATTTTTAACGTCACATCAAAAATACCACTCTTGTAACTTATGGGTTTATAAAATCAAAGTATGCTAAATGTAAATATCAAACTTCACGTTCTAAATATCAACCGGTGTTTGGACATTCTCGTTCTCAATGTTATCAGTTGCATCCGAATTTAAAACCTTCAAGTAAAAACGCTTCTGGATCTGCCCCACCTCATACCTGTCCCTCCTCCGCTCCTGAGTGCATTCCACAGACTATTGAAATACCGGTTGACACGATGCCACCTCCCCCTCCCACTACCGGAGATAATACTATCTCTATTCTTCCGACTGATATATTGACAAATGGTTTACATGGGTCTGATAATCAGGATAGTATTGAAGCTCCACTATCAGGAGAGCCTCATAGCTCCACTTCTTCAGGAAGTATCCGGTGTAGAGGCAACTCATACTTCACATATACTAGAACATATTGTGGGTAATACATTGGTAATCCTTCTGCTTCAGTTCTACCACAGCATCACACTGATTTTTCGGAAGAGGAATGACAGGTCTATTCCAGGAGGAAGAAGAAGAATGAAGACCGACTCCAGCTCGGAAACATATTAGATGATACATTGGTTACAACTGGCAATGACAATCATCTTACCAGCTTATTAGCTTGCTCCTACCCTAGAACAAGAGGCAGAGGCAAGACCAAGCTGGCTCGTGCTTAGCAGCTTATTTCCTGCAAGTTTTGATTTTTTTTTTTGTTTTATTTATGTTTCATCCAGTAGTCAAAAGCAGGAACACACTGTTAGCGCACCCTATGTGCCTGAACGCGCTCTTAGCAAACCTGATGACAGCCAACCTGAGGAGGGAAACACCACAAGACAGGAGTTGGTGTCTGCCCCTGAGATCCTTTCTCCTGACCATACTACAATGGATAATATTCAAACTGAAAAATCTGGATATTTCAATAATCAGGAGAGCCTTCCCGCAGCTCTTATTCAGGAAGCATCAGGTGTAGAGGAAACAATTCACACTTCACATACACTGGAACCAATCGCGGTGGCAACGACTGTCTTTTCTCCTATTGCAATTCTAACATCAAATCAGATCGAGGATCATATGAGTCAGTCTTCAGATGAAGAATGACAGGTTTACACTTCTTGGCGGAAGAAGAAGCTTGGGGGCTGGGGGCACATTTCAACTTTTAAACTTAATGGATGATACTTTGGTGACTCCTAGCAATGACACGACTCTTCAAAACTTATTATCTGGTATCGCTCCTAAAACTAGAGGAAGAGGCAGGACTAAACTGACTCGTCCCTAGCTACTGTTTTTTACATGTTTTAAATTTATTTTTAATTTTATTTGAGTCTATCAGTACCTTTTGTTAGAGTTTTTATGTATTTGTATCGTATGGGTAGGGTGCTTTTTTGGGTTCTTCTCATACAACCTTTATGTATCCTTTTATATTTCAATAAAATCAGCCGTTGGCTTTAAAATATATATATATATATATATATATATATATATATAG